CGGTTAGCCCAGGAGTGATCCTGGGCACGGGGTTGGCAGTGCTCTGTGACTTCCTCCCGGCTTCCCAACTCTAAGCAATCTTGCCACAGAAGGTGGCGTTCTGCCCCCACAACCACCTCCGCCCATTTTGCTCAGCACAAGACCATCCCTGACCTGCAAAAGATAAACTGGGTGGGGAACATTCTAGAAGGGGTGCATTCCATTCTCAGATACAGGCACTGGGCCCTTTTTTTTTTCTTTTTTTTTTGGGTCACACCCGGCGATGCTCAGAGTTTACTCCTGGCTCATGCACTCAGGAATCACTCCTGGCGGTGCTCGGGGGACCATATAGGATGCTGGGAATTGAACCTGTGTTGGCCATGTTGGCTGCGTGCAAGGCAAACGCCCTACCCCCTGTGCTATTGCTCCAGCCCCTGGGCCTTTTATGACAGTGCCACCCAGGACGCTGGCAACAGATCTGGACAGGAGCTGTCTCTGGGCAGGGCACTGGGGCTTAACTGGGTCTTTGATGTCCATCGCGTGACTTTGGAGAGTGGATGTCCTGGGGAGGGTGACTGTCTCCAGCTGGGAAGGGTTGACCCTCTGCCCTGTCCCTTCTCCATGGAGCTATGGACTGGTCACAAGAGTTTGTTGGGGAAGCTGTTGACTGATCTCGGGCAAGGCACTGACAGGACGTAAGACTCCTGCAATGCTGGTGAGAAGGGACTGGAGTTGGGGGACAGGACAGAGGAAGGGGTGAGCGGAGGCAGGGTCAGCGGGCTCCACTCCAGACTATAAACAGTAACAGACATCTCAGCCCTGCCTGGTGTAAGGGGCTCCATTGATTCACCGGCTCCCGACAGAGGGATGCCGATCAGCGGAGCTCAGACAGAAAGGGCCCATTCATTCATGCCGAGCACCGGCTCTTCGTCCCCATTGGCTCCCGCTAATGGCTCCGGGCTGATAGGGAGGAGGGGGAAGGGGCAGCCCGGAGGAGGAGGAGGTAGAAATGAAAGAAAATGATGACTCCAAGATTGTCGCCAAGAAATGCACAGCTGCGCGGAGATTGCATGCAAACGCATCTTCCCTTTTTAGCTGCCCAGTTAACGTCCTCACATTCGTCTATTTTTCTCTTTCATGTCGCCCCCCCCTCCTCTTGTTGCCTTGTCTTTTTCTGGGTCCCCTTCTGGTCTCCTTGCCATTCATTTGCCGTTTTCTCTGACCCCACCTGCCCGCTGATCCCCACCTCTGTCTCTCCCCCACCCCTGCCTTCCTCCTTCCTCAGCCTTCCTTCCCCCGTGGACACCTTTCTCCACTCCTTGGGGGTCACTGTCTGCGGCCCTCCTGGGGGCTGCTCTCAGCTCTGTCCTCTCCCTTCCCTGCAGGCCTCCCTCCAAGCCTCTGCCCCCAGGGGGGGAAGGAAGGACATTCGGAGGCAGGATTTGGCCCGATCCTTTCTCCCTGCCCCTCCTGTTGGCCAGCCCAACTCTGACAGATGTGTGTAGTCCTTGGAAAAGAAGCTCATTCATCCCTTCTGAGAGCTCCAACGTGAGCTGGGGAGGGGGGCGGGGCGGGGCCGGGAGGGAGGGGGCGGCAATGAGACAAGAGAAGGGAAGGAAACGAGAGTTATAAATAGGATGAAAGGAGAGGGAAAAAATGTCGAGTATTTTTTTCTCTCTCTCTCTCTTTTTTTTTCTTACTCAACACATCTCCAAGGAAGTGTGCTGCAGCTGGAGAAGCCATTGGGTGATCCACACTGCACCCCTCTTCTCTGTAACCTCAGGATCTCCTTCCAAGACACCCATCACCGAGGAGAGCTGGACCGCAGCCCAGAAATAATCACTGCAGCTCCTTCGTCTGGCCAGCTCTTAAGGCGAGGGGGTGGACTGGAAAGGCTCCGCGCTCTGGCCAGATATTTTTATCAAGGGGTGACTCGGCAGGAGGGAACCTGGGACGTGGGTTCTGCCACCAGGGCAGAGCCCGTTGGGGGCTTCCTGGCAATTCTGAGCTCTCGTGGATGATAATCCACTGGTGATTCATTCACGCCATCCGACTGCCACCAAGCCAGGGGTCCGTCTGGGCCACCCCCGCTTTCTCCCAGCACAATAGAAAGCTCACAGCACTGCTAACTGTTCGGACCCTTGGCAGTAGCAGACCCCAGAAACTCCACCTTCACTCACAGCGCCTGTGTGGCTCAGCTAACCAGGAGAAGGGGCAGTCTTGTTTTGCAAGGAAGGTGTGAAGACCAGCAGCTATTGGGGCTGGAGAGAGAGTACAGAGGATAAGGAGCTGGCCTCTCACGTGGCCCACACCAGCTCAATCCCCAGCACTGGAGAGTCCCCCCAGCCTCCCCAGGAGTGAGGCTGTTAAGTCCCAGGAGCTTCACAAACAGCTTTGCAGGACGGGATTTCGAATATACAGCTAGGATGAAGGCGAGAGCTCTAGGCACTGGAGAACAGGCTTTGGGTGCAGAGCCCTGTGCTGGCTCCCTTGAGCACCCCCAAGCACCTCCCGGATCAAC